TGTGTGTGTGTGTGTGTGTGTGTGTGTGTGTGTGTGTGTGTGTGTGTGTGTGTGTGTGTGTTACTGTCAAATCAGCGTTCGTGCTTTTTTTTTAATTATGCTTTTTTCTTTATATATATATATATACACGTATACATAGCAGCAACGCGTCAGATGAAAGCAAATTCTTTCACTTCATGCTCTTTCACATTCCTTGTAAATAATTGTCAAACTTTAGACTTAGCGCACACATGGTTGGTGTCGGTTGTTTAGGAAATTTTGACTGCGGTGCTGGGCGTGTTTCTACAGGGACAGGGCAGAGATCCCGAACAAATTGCTGTAATAGCGAAAAATGCTTCTGAGGTTAGTACGAGTCTATAAACGAATAAATTGAACAATGATGTTTAATTCAAACTCTTTAAACTTTTTATCTCACTTTTAGAAAGGTATAAATACGTGCTTTACTCTTAATTATATATACTTTATTGAAAATGTTGAAAATATCAAGTAAGAAAAATAGAGGTTGAATTAGTTTACTTAATTTTGCTTAACTGTATCTCCGATGCGCTTGTAGTAGTATATTATTGTATTATATTTGTGCTAATCTATCTGCATTTTTAATCCTGCTATCTGTTTTGTAATCCAGCTTCTTTTGAAATTGCTTTTAACATATATATTAGTTATTGCAACATATTCTCGCACATACAATATAAATAATAAATATGATTTTAAATAACTGCGCAAATTAGACAAGTTTAGCATTGACGAATACAGGTCCTTTTGCGATTTTGCATGAGAAATAATGTAAGGGTATGATTTAAAGGAAAAAAAGTCATAGTCATATGAGACTGTAATTTAAAAGAAAGAAAGTACACACATAGTTATGATCGTCCCAGTTCTCTATTGAGAATCATTTTCATAAACCAATTTTTATAGCTATATATACTGTAATTTGGTGACAGGTTAGTTTCGCATGTATCTCCAGCACTGCAGATCATAATGAATTTTCAAAAAATTACCTTTCCAAATTCTTTATGAATTTCTTTAATTAATCTGTTCGAAATTAATTTAAAAAGTAATCACCCGCGTGCATTGTGCTCGTGCGCCATTAAATTAATATCACAAAAATTTATTTCTCATATATAAGTAAATTATTTTACAAGATAAAATAAAATGCGCAGTATTATTAGGTTAAGTAAAAAGTCATCGCGTTTTTTTAAAAGACATCTATCAATAAAAACCGCAATTACTTTCTTACCAACAATATAAATATATCTTGATAGAGTAAAGTTTCAGCTTTAAAAATCTCTTTTTTAAATTATACGATACGACAATTTTTAATGGAGTTATGAGCAATTAAAGTCAAAATAATTCTTTTATTTAATCCGCGATAACTCAGTAATCAAAAGTCGTAGGAATATTTAAAAAAAACGATTTTGTAGGGAAAGTATCAAGCTTTCACGATAGGTAATCGAAAATTTTCTCAAATTCGTTTTGGACACGTTACAAATCCACAAAGTGAGAAGAAAATTTTTCGTCTTTTTCAGCTCGTAGTTTTTGGTATGTAAAAATTATCAAACTCATATAAACTTAAAAAATGTGATAAGCTTTTAAAAGTAGAGATTTCAAGCTTTAAAACCCTTTTTTTAAATTTGAATTTCATTCATTACGAAGATATTGTATATACAACTTTGAGCTAAAAAATACGCAATGACTTTTTACTCAACCTAATATAAGGTATCTCAATTAGATTTTTAATGAAATGTCTTAATTTAAAGATGAGCCTAAAAAATAAAACTCTGAGATAAAAATAAATAAAGTGCTTTGACACTATAATTTTATTCGGTTCTATGTAAAAATTAATTTTTAGAGATATATCCTAAAATGTTTTTGAGAGGATATATTATAAATAATAATAAGTAACGGCCAAAGTAAGAGTCAGCACATTTCTTTGAAATTAACAAAAGAATATATTACAATTAACAGAGGTAAAATTATCAATGAGGTAAATTTTGGACAGAAATAAGAGGTGTATCGTGCTTAACCGTCAAACTTTTTTTTCCGTGTACACGTCTTTGTGAATATAATCGCTTATATCTTCGTTTATACGTGTAATTAAGCAGTTCATCAGTATAGTCATCAATCTACTGGACGCCCTGAAAACATCATTCTCTCATCGTTCTCTGACGGCTCGCTCACTCGGAAGACGCGACACCGTTTCCGAAGCTGCTATAGCGTCGATCTCTATGCTAAAGGTAAATTCAATAAATGATTATCAGTATTCACCGATATATATATATATATATATATATATATATAAACGATAATTGAAATAAAATAATACTTCTTTTGCGATTTCATGCAATATTTAGAAAATTACTAGTGGTTTATCGTTTTAAGACAATAATTGTTAGATGCAGTCATTTAAACATCATTCTAGTTGTTATGTAATTATTCATCTTCGTGTTGATACATACACACACACACACACACACATATATTTTTTAGAATTGTGATTCTAAATTTAATTCGATAGGGCTACATGAGATCCGTCAAGTCCTTTAGTTACGTAGGTCGTGCGGAGGAGGAGGGACAGCGTGGATGCGCCGAGAGAGCACTTTGTGAGGCCAGTGCGGAATGTATCGCCGATACACAAGGTCCATCGTCGATTTTCTGCCAACTTGGATCGTGAGTATCCGTTTTTGTGTTTAATTTTTTTTTATATCTGTAACAAACTGAACACTTGGAACAATAGCATAATTTTGAATTTACCATCTTCTTTCTATAGCAAGCATTGGAATATAGCATTTCGTCATTTTTACGTAATGTCAAATTTATTGAAATTATAACAGTTTCGATCTGTGATAATGAATAGTCAAAGATCGAATTCAACTTTCTCAGGTACGCAACGAGTTATTTCCTGCAGAGGCAAAGCGGCGTCGGCTTTGAGGCTTTATACGAGGCAGGACGACGTGGTCGCACAGGCGAGGATTGCAGAACTCTTTTTATGGATTGCAACGCTGTATAAAGCGAGTTTAATTCCCACAGCGTTCTGTCGAACGTAGCTTAGATTCTGCGGGATTACGGATTCTCTTTGCCGATCAAAATTAATTTAAAGACTTCTCGTACAACCCGTACATTCTGTGCTTTATCTTCTGATGGAGAACAATGTGAAACTACTCGAAGCTATTTGTATACATTACAGACAACTAAATAATGTAATATGAAGGTTTTATAATTATCGCAAACGCCTAAAAACGTTTTTTCGTCAAATATTCGAATGACACGTATTTTCGACGGAGTTTCCGGCATCCTATAGCTTAAATCATGTTAAAACAAAAGTATATAGAGTTTTAATCAACATATTCACGGGTGTGCACCGAATCGGGATTCGCATCGAATCTCGCTAGCTCGTCAGCTCGACTCGAGCTCACGGTTGAACATTTCTTCAGACAGAGAATTCGTGTATGTGTGTACACATGCTCAATAATGCAGATTTATTTAACATCAATCTGCGAACCAATGTCGCGAACAAACAAGGCACACTTGATGCTTTAATCCCGCCTGTCTCGAGAACAATTAGATTAAATTTTTTGATCGAACAAGTTTGCTAATATCTTTATGAATTAGCTTCTAATAATACACTTTGGTCAAGTTTTATCTACTAAAATTTCTCTTGTTTTTTTCCTATTTGTCACGTTAAGAATTGTATGTATATCTTTTCGTATCGCTGAGTTTCGCCACATCGATTATACAATTATACGACTATATTTATTTCTATTTATTGTGCGTGTTAAACGTAGATGTAGTATTTGTGGTTGGGACTCGGCACGAGTTCTGGTCGTTCTGGTATTTTGACGACAATGACTATTATGTGCAACAGGAAGTTTATATATGAGTATATATAAAATTGTTGATATATTTTAAGTTTGCGATCAATAAAATTGTTTTAATATCTGAAATGTAATATATCTTCAAAATATAAAACTGTGAATAATGAAAGCAATGGCATTCATATTGATTTAAACGTTATTAATGGATTCGTTTCTCCCATTATCAATGATCTCCAACGTGCAGCTTGTCTGTAAACTTTTTGCGGGCCATTAGATCAATACTAAAAATATACAGTCATATTTTCTATTTTATATAAACCAATTAAAGTAGTTTACATAACTAGTAAAAATTGGCCACACCGCATGATCGAAATTGAAAAGGTAGTAATTGCCCGCCAAATCTTAAATCAAAATAATTTGTAAAGTAATTTTATTATATCATACATCGTTGTATTCGCTAGAATGGACACTACAATTTTTATCACATCAAAATATTTATTTTATAGAAAAAAATTATACTTACCTCTCCGCGCGTTTTCTAATATAAATATTTTTTCTCAATAAAACTATGCTTATAATCAAATTTAGTCGTTTAATTTCAGACTATATTTATTAAGCCTATCTCTGTTAGTTTACAAAATAAAAATGGATACACTTGTACAATATACCCTGTGTGTGCGTGCGTGCATGCGTGCGTGCGTGCGTGCGTGCGTGCGTGCGTGCGTGCGTGCGTGCGTGCGTGCGTGCGTGCGTGCGTGCGTGCGTGCGTGCATGCGTGCGTGCGTGTGCGTGTATGCAGGGGATCCGGTAAGTTTTGACAAAGCGGCTCGTGTGTAGATAGAATAGACTAAACTGAGTTGAAAAGTTCTCTATCATTTTATAATTTTCGCAATAATTAACAAGATATTAATTACTAAAAATCGCTAAATATTGGTTTTCAATAATTATTTATTCAAACTATCATTTTACAACAGAATGTTTCATACAAAAGTTATTTTATTTCGTCTTTTTCTAATCTTTAGAACTAGAAAAAGACAAAGAGTAAATTGAATCGAGAAAGTTAATCCGTGCTGATGGAAACGGGCCTAATACTTGACGAATGTCTCGAAAAAGTCGATTAACAGGCAATTCGACATTCTAAGTTGATTTACGACTTTACACATATTAATTATTATATTAGCAATATTAAAATAGCTTAAATAAATATATACTAAATGTAATTTTAAAATCATACACGCACCGTTCAATAATTTAAATTCGATATTTCACAATGATAGCAATTTAACGAGTTTCGTTGAATGACCTTCCCTATTTAATACTCGTGTTAATATTTTGACTAGGATACTTCCTTCTTTTTAACATGTCCATTCTAAACCTATTAACTGCTGTATATAATAAGAGAGAGATGATGTCTATTTACAGATGATGTCTATTTACATACATAGATATATTTGTGCATATACAGATATATATATATATATATATATATATATATATGTATATATATGTATATATACGTACACGTATATAGTGTCAATCACAAAAAGGTTTTTTTCAATCAATTTCGGAATTCAATCTTGCTCGAATATAAAGCGGTTGAACATAAATAGTTAGCTGTCTACATATAAGTAAGAATCTCTCCGTTGAGCAGTCTACATTCCGAAACCCATCAAAAAAGTGTTGCAATCTTTCTGTATACATGCATATGTGTGTATATATATATAACGCATGTATATTTGTATGTATATTGATATATGCACCTAGGTGGAGTAAATTTTCTGTTTTTTCTTCTCTTTGTAATAATCCCATGGTTCATTAATCTATATACATACACACATTAATCTACAAATGTAAGTTGTATGTATGTATGATTATTATATTTTAATAAATATATTCAATAAAAATGATTTTATTTATTTACTAGTATTCATAAAATAATTTCTTTTTATTTTGATCTTACTAAAGGATTTGCCTGCTGAAGACTCTACCTGTCCTGCAAGATAGCATATTCATGTGTAATGTTGATGTATGTGTGTTTGTAACGTTAAAAATACAATGTCTGAAAAAATCAAACTGTGTGTTACCGTCAACCAGCGTGAAGTGTAAAGACTTGAGAAACCGTGACCGTACTTTGCTGTCGGATGACAAGATTTGTTATCAACAGTTTCATACTGAATCTCCTTGGAAAAGGAGTTCTCTAAATTGTCTCAGTGTTGCGCAATTTAACAATCCTTTTTTGTTTCGGATAATTTCTTTACATTAAAGGTAAATGAAACGAATAGTGCAATTTATCAATATTAATTCACATATTTATTATACAAAAACGTTAGCTATATAATATAATGACATAATTTACGTTGAAATATAAATAATTTAAAAAATATGAATATCTTATAAAAAAAATGTTTATTAAATAGATGACGTTCAAGTCTTTAACAAATTTTGGAGGCTTTGGGAAAGCTCCTTGGGACAGGCCTATCGAGCGTTATCACAGTGATGGAAGTGGCTACCATCATGGATATCGTAGGTATGTTAAATCAAATATCTAATTACACCTAAATTCATTAATATTAAAATTTGTATAGATATTTCACAAAATGATTTTTTAAATAAAATACTCTTCTGAATTTCAGAAGTTCCAAAGGAAAGGGTGGAAGTAGCGCGGCATTGAGTGCGCTGACCTTACTCGCTTTCCTATTTCTCTTAAACGTCATGCAGGTAATAACGTGCAGTAAATACGTGCATATTACTATATATTTTTAACACTCTGTAGTTTGCCAACGGTACAGTACCGTCACGCAAATTCGACGTTACAGTCCGCCGCGCCGCGTCGCGCCGCGCCGACGCATGATGCGACGCGACGCAACGGCATAATAACGTCGAGGTAAGAATGTTAATCTTGAAATTATATTATTATTATACATATATCTCTATTATTATATATTGTAGGTAAAAGTATAAATAAAATGTTGCTTAATACTTATTCCTCAACGTAGATTTCCTCAACGTAATGTGGTATTATGTTTATAATATTGTGAAACGTATTACTCGTAGATAAGAAAAAGAAATATAATTAAATAATAAAATTTATAATTATATTAAAATAAAATTTATAATTAATTTTATTTTGTGATATTTTAAAAGAATCAAAAAGTGATATTTATTTTCTTAAAGATTTAATTTTTTTCAGTTATAAATAAACTACCATGTTTAATTATTTAGAATAAAGTGAATGCAAGAGATAAATATATAAATTTATTGTGCTTATTTATTATAAAAGAAAAGTATGCAATACTAAAAGCAAAACAAAATATTTTAACTTCAATGGATCTTTTTATCGACACGTATATATACGATAAAAAATATGCAGTTCATTAATATATTCACTATCATAGCCATTCGTTCAGTCAGATATGGTGTGCACTATATGTATAATGTTAATACAAGGTACCCCGAGTTTTCCATATGAATTTTTACGTTCTATGAGCAGAAATAAAGTTAAAAAATTTATAACAAAAATATAACATTCGCGAACGTTGAGATAAATCCTTTTCAATTTCAATGCATTTTTATTCATTTACAGAAATTGCATGAAACATATTTCTGTGTCTTTCAATCTGGAAAAATTTCGGTTTTTTAAATGCATTATGAATATACTACTCAATTCCAAAAGTTTTTTCAACCCAAAATCTAAAAAAAAAATGAAAATAGACTATAAATGCTATTAAAATACGCATTCAGATGATTCGATGAACGAATTAAAATTTTAAATCATTTTAATCTATTCTCGTTTATTGGAAAGAGAATACACATGCATGCGACATACAGTATGTATATATATA